TAGAAACCAGTCTGTCAGGTAGTCATTAACCTGTACTCGAAACTTCCGTCCCACAATAAACTCGTGTAACCACTGAAGTAGCGTGCCGCCGACTCCACGGGTCCTCAGTTTACGAAGGAGTACCTTGTGGTTTATACTGTCAAACGATTTACTAAAGTCGATTTGCACCATGTTAACATCCTTCCGTTCGTTGAAAGTTCGTACCCACGGGTGGTTTGCGTACATCAAGTTGGTGATGCAGGATCGCACTTTGTTGAAACCGTGTTGCCCTGGTGTCAATAGGTTCATCGATTCGAGGAAGAACAGCAGACACTTTTCACAACCTTCTCGTGAACTTTGGATAAGATCAAACAGTTCGGTCCATAATTCTTTACTTTACTCGGATCAGTCTCTTTGTGAAACGGTCTCACTACCGAGTATTTCCAGTCGTTGGGGACAGGTCCTTCAGAGAGTGATTTATTGAATAGTTTTGTCACGGCTGGTGAGATGACATTCGATAGAGACTTAAGTACTAGTGGGTGAAGTCCGTCTGGTCCAAAAGGCTTTGCATCATCGTGGTTGACGAGTAGGTGCCACACTTCGACTGTATCACATTGTAGGCTGTCGATCAGGACTGGCGCAATTTGTGCCGGTACTGGAACAGCCTCCAGTTTATTGGAAAATACAGGCGGAAGTACGAAGCCAAGGCGTCCGCGTGCCTTGCGCTTGAAATGAGCGTCTTCTGTTCAAGATCTCTAAGACCTAGGTCGCCCGCAGGTTTCAGTTGACGTTTCAAGTAGGAAAATATTCTCCCTGGAGCGGTTGTCGCCGAAGCTGCTAGCTCCTCTTCGAACTGTCGGCGTTTCCTGAGCTTTTCGGCCTTACATGTGTTATGCTGTTTTTGTACACCGCGTATTTTTCAGCACAACACAAAATGATGTATCTATCCAAAAGTTTGCGGCGCCGTTTTACTAACTGTTTATATTCCTTATCCAACCAATGTAGTTTGACAGGTCCGACTCTCGAATACTTCATGGGAAGGAACCGAGTGCACATCGAGTTAAGCTGACCCTTTATTAATGCCTACAGACATCAAGCGACGCATCCTTTGTTGGTGTTCAGTCAGTTTGACTTACGGCTTGGATACGCCCGATGAAGTCCGTCTTCCAATAGTTGTATGTCGGGTTTCATTGGTTTTAATACGGTAATGGCTGTTCTATGCTTGCTACAGTAGAGCAGTTGTCACCTTTCGCCAGAGTTTCTAGGACTCTAATCTCTTTCAGCTTCTGCTCGCAGCTCGTAAACATTAGCTCCAGAGAAGATGGCGGGTGCGTTTATGCGCGCCGATTGGATGACATGTTGCGTTGCCCCGATTTCAATAGTCATTTTAGCGAATGGAGGCTCAACGTCGGCATGAGCGGGAAGAAGCCGAACGAGTAGCCAGAACATTTATATCCCTCTCAGTAAGAATTGAAGGCAGCTCGTGTGCTTCTGTATATCTGGTAGCCAATCACACAACGGTTTAATGGGCTAAGGTAGATAACATCCACTGTTAGTTCTGTACTTCTGAGGCGGATTGTGCACCGCAATTGTTCGCATAAATTATGCTCGCTTCGATAGGTGCTGATAAGTTTGCCAAGTAGTAAGGATTTGATGTACAACAGAACACCACCGTGAGCGTTGATCTTCGGTCGCAGCGGAAACAAGAGTATCCTGACAAGGCGACTTCTTGCGGTATGACGTCGGAGTTAAACCAAGTCTCTGCACGTCCTAAAATATCCGGACGCTCCGAAACAGTGAAGCGGCAAACTTCGTCACGTTTGTTCATTAGGCAGCACACCTTGGCGAATACCACACGGAGGTCCTGGGGAGTACCGCAGGAAGTGCCCGAAGGTTGAGTAACCGGTTCATAAGGGTTCGTACATCCATTTTGATCAGACGAAAGTTTACAAGTTATAAATCTGTCTCACCTTCTACTGCACGGCGTTTGAGCACAATGACCGCAAGATTCAAACGATCCCTGTCTTCGGGTTCCTACTCTCGGCGGATGTGAACCTTAATGCCTTTTAGTCTTGATAGACGACACAGTATGAGCTGCCGTTTATTTTGCCTTGCATTGGTGATTCTCAGAGATCGACATGACTGGTTAGCGGGCTGGCTAATTTGGAATGCTTGTTTACTCGTCACACTATCTGCGTCCACATCCAAGAGCCTATCGATGTGCCCCTGGACGAAATCAACCTCGTGATCAAAACGTATTTGGTTGTTTTCATCTTTTGTCTCCACTATGTGGAAGACCATAAGCTTATGTCGCCACAGCGAAATCAGTGATGAAGCTGTGGGATCAGGACTAGAGGCGCTTATCGGTTTGGGTTGTTGTTTATCAGCAGGTGATGCCTGAACTCGATTACGTAGCCGCTTGCGCTTTGAACTGATCCATGAATCCTCGGTGCTCTGAGGTTGACGGACAGGCTCAGAGAAATTCACGGATGGATCAAGGAAGCGACATTTCGTTGGTTTTGAGACTGAGTCTTCATTCGGTGGGGAACATTGAACCTCAGATTCGGCTGGAGGCGAAGACGCTGGTGGTTGTGCCGATCGCGGAGTGACAGGTGAAGGCGAGGTGACAGAGGTATTTTCCAGAGGGCATATGACTTCACGTCTTGAACGGTTTGTTTCTGCCCGTAAGGTAGGTTTTCTTGTAGTTGTTGCTGATCGCTGTGTATTCTGATGTGTTGCATCGGAACATTTATCACATATAACTTGGAGAAACCGATGTCAGATGTCGAGAGATTTTCGAAACATGTCAACGGATAAGCCAGTGCACGAAGTATGGAACAAAGCATTGCAGCCGAAGCATCGAAGTGCATGAGTCTTATGCCCAACAACTTTCAAACACAAATCATAAGTAGATTGAGACGGCACCACAAGGTACAGAAAATCCAAGTTGGTGGACAATGACGGCGGGTGTGCCAATCAATGAGATATCTGGAAGAAACCAGAGCATATTCCCCAAATTGGGACCGATTAGGAAATACACAAAAAAGAAAATACTGATGCACAATTCACACAGAAGAAGCATTTATAACACAGTAATCCGAAGCAAAAGTAGTATCCAGCACACGGTGCTCCACAACTCCGCGGCTTCCGTGGGTACAGCTAGCCAACATGATGCAGACCTCTTCGATTTCCGCCAGTCTGCTCAGCGCAGCAGAATTAGCGGAGAAGCAGCGCTACATGATCACCGCGCCTTAGGTGACTTCTCACTGTTACTGTGTAAACCATAATTTTCTCATTGGTGAAGACGTGGTCAAAATGGCCGATTTGTCCCCCATTCTGAATCCCGTAGGGAAGTGACGTGGCTATGGAGTATTAGGCTGGCTACCAATTCTTGTAGTTTGACCTTTAAGTGCTCTCCAGGTGATGCCGGTATTTCCAGTATATGCAAGTTGAATTCCCTACGAGGAGAATGTGAGAGTTAGTTTGAGCCAAAATAGTTTACAGTGCAGCAGATAGATGCTTGTCCATTTCCAGGGAAGATATGGGAGGAGGGTATACGAGTGCAACTAAACATGTATCACCAAGTTTTAATTGTAGGCGGTACCAAAGTGAGTTCACAACTTAAGGCTGTGAATTGTCAACGACTTGGAGGCCTAGATATTTGCGGTAGTACAAACTACGCCACCTAGCCCACTAGCTGGGTCTTAACGTAGGAAGGAGATACCAGGGATCTACGTCATCATGATCTCATCGTTCAGTCGAGGTTCCGTTATCATTATCAGGTCCATAGACATGGAGGTTTGGCAACAGTGAAGCGCGGATTATTTGTTGTCGAGTCACTGAGCATTAGTATACACCCAAGAGAGTGCTTTGAATGTTAGAAGTGTATCAGAGTGTGCGAATGACAAGTCCGAGCATATATAAACCATTGTGAGATCGGCAACTAATCGTTTTTTGGTGGACTGTCAACACTGACCTATGATCCCGGTCATATTTCTTGGTATAATGATAACAGGCTGACTTTCCTGTCTCAGCAAAGATTGGGAAAGTCGTTCCGGCTTCAAAAGTTGATTGTGCCCCACAGTTTGGTGCTTCGCTATTAAACTCCGGTAATTTTGCTCTCTCTCTCTCTCTATCATCTTGGGTCTGGTGTTGAAAGCTTTTATTCCTTGATATGAAGGAATCTCCTTACGCCACTTACGCCAGTTTTCGATTGAACTTAACGAACGAACTGGAACCTAGGCTATATTGTTATGCATAGAGACAAATCTTGTGTTAGCGAAATAAGCGTGTCTTTTATTTATTGTAGCCTAAAAAATGCCAATGCAGAAAGCCTCCACTCCCGTGACCAAATGAAGCAGAAAGCTAGAGGGATACCGAGTGACGATGGTGCAAACCTTTTCAGATACGAACCGCTGTCCAGCATGACCAGAGCGTTGTTTAACGGTTTCAAACATTTTCGGGATTCTTGTTAAAGAAACAGAGATTTTGTGTTTCCTAACAAGCCTGTTTCAATGCGGTTTAGCAGGTACATGCGGATTCCAACATCCTATATACGTGATGGATACTCAGCTTTACCTGTTGGCACCTACCAGCAAACGCATCCATTATTCCAATTAAGAACACTACTTTTATCTTGTAAGACACTGGTTGACAGTGCCAGGTCGATGGGCGTCGCGATAACCTATGGAAACATTCAGTTGTGACATGACACATTATTCGCCACAGAAACTTGTTTTGCCTGAATACAGGGGAAATGGCTGTTCACAAGAGTAAGGCATTTGTATACTGTGCAGCCATTGACCCTATGTCATCACAATCTGGTTTGATTGGCAGCATATGTAACGGATTCAACCATTGATCAAGGCATATCGTTTCCACAGTCGCATTAACTTAAGCATTCTGTTAAAGAATCTGCACTGATATTAGTATGCGTGAACTGTTGTGAAAATATCAATCGGTAGTCCATATTTGAAAATGCACATTTTATGAGATGAATAATAATCATTCGCAACACTTACAATATATACCCCTGGGGTATCCGTAAGCCAAGTGTGACCGCATCTGCCAGCGAAAGGAATGTCATTATTATGTAGGTTGGAGCTGCAAATTTTGCGCGAAGAAACACAGAGAAGTTGAGTAAGTTCAGCGCAAAACCGATGATGCAGATGGTGGTTTGAACGTACACATAGCCAAAGGCTATAGCATAGGTATACACATCGAGCGTATCTGTCGTTACATTGGAGCTCCCCATAGACGGATTTCGAATCGTGTTGTTGTCGATAAAATTTTCTTCCATCCTCGTTTACTTGCTGAAATAGGTTACATCCCAAAATATGCAACAGTGTGTCTAGGAGGGAGAATAAAAGTAGAGACAACACGGGAAGAACAAATTAGTTTTGCTATAGAAGCGGTAATCGAATATTGTATTCCAAACGCACAAGTGCGTCCTACAATAACAACTTTCTTTCCTGTTACTTCCTGCAACTTAATTGGTAGTTGAACTTATGCTGTTGTCTACTATACAACAATAGTTTCATACTGTATTTTACCGACTCTCGCAAGCATTAAACTGTCTTGATCTAAGTTATTTGGCTCAGACTGACTGAAGATCAATGTTTAACTTCCGTTTGTCACCTTTGGTTACTTGTACGATGTTATCGTGCGCCTAGCGGAAGCGTTAGCAGGTAAGATAAGTCGGGCTTGCAAAACAACGTACAGTATATGCGTTGATGATCCCTAGACGTCCAGCTTTATGGTGACTGTTGTTATCTTGGGTTTTGAAAAATGCCATCTTGTTACAGTCGTCCGTCCTTAACAACACTTTCGATCAGTGTCAAACACCCGATGAATGGCGCCACCACCTTCCGGTCATCAAACCTGAAGCGAAGATGAATTGCATGCAAACCCTTTCGAAAGGCTGTTGGATCGTATCGTCAAGTCAAACAAGTGCAGAACTGTGGAAAATGTCTGCATCGCCTCGGGGGGTACCCCTTATTTCTAGCTTACCACTCGCTCCATTTGCGTTATTATGCCAACTTTCGTACATTCACTTTTCAATACTGTCACATTTCAATTTTGGCTGCTTAGCCGTTGTTTCATACTTCTTGCTCGTTAAGCCTTTACTGGACAACATCAATCGACAACTACATTCTAACCGTGGTATCAGCTACCATGACAAAGCCCTGGTCAATTTTCAGAAAATTGTTTAGCTTTAGTAATGGCCCATAAAATGACCGGATAGAGAATTTTAGGTGGTAATACTTTGATAGCATACCTTTGTTTCTCTTACTTGCTACGCATCTCGCAAGTATTAACTGCATCAACGTTATGAGAGGCTTGCAAGTGCTAAAAACATGCGAAACAGTAATGAGAGATTAAATAACTTCTCATTTAGCCACTCGCTTTTGCTTTGATATGTATAGTGGTTAGCTACACCACGAATGGTTAGCTAGATTTGGATCTGGGGACTGAGCTGGTCCTCAAGTTCATACACGCTGCAAATATCTTTGCACTGTGGCATGGCGCACTGTCATTCTGAAAAATTCTTCTTTCTGGAATAGTTTCTGGGTTGTTGGTGACATGCGGTTTTTAAAGATCAACTCTTCCTTTCATGCATTGACCTTGTCGTCAACGACTTGGACCCTTCCAACTGCATTAGCTGTGATGCAACCGAAATTATGCATCCTTTTGGGCGCTGGACAGGGATATTGAGGCATGGGGTTTGTGTTCCTCCCGTGGAAAGCGTCCAAACAGATGCGCTGCCACGCGAGTCCGGAGAATGCGGAAATGATTAGCGTCACTAGGTAAAGCTCTCTTTGAATCCTCCTTGGCTCAACATGAATACTTTCCAACCCATGCCAGCCTTCGTTTCTTTTGTGAATCAGATAACAATGGTTTCTTCCTTGCCAGGCGGCCTATCAGACGGAGTTCCATGCACTGTCGTCTTACTGCTGAAGTACACACACCCATAGTACAGTTCTCTATTTATTTTCTCTGTATTTGAAACGATGTAAGTTTTCTGTCAAACAGGTTGCCCTAAACAGCATCCAGTTATCTCGGACTGTTGAGTAATTGGGTCGAGCACATCAATTTCTTTCACCTCTGCTTCCAGTCTCATTTTGTACGGTATTAAGTCAGATGACACTGCTTTGACTAGAGCTAACATATACTGCACTTTCCTTGAATGCGTAGCATTCTTCATGAAGCACTACTACGTTGACTCGTATATCCTTTACAGAATATTCAAGGAATCTCATTCTGAATCCTTACTAAGTCTGGCCAACAAGTGTTATGAGTTAGCACTACAAATCTCTGCAAATTAACGAATAGATAAGCTGTTCTGCAATCGGCCAGAAATTTAACATTGGAGAAAAATCACAATGTTTGAAGTCGGTTTCAATAAACATTTTCCATACTTATCGTATTCTATCCAGACGACAAGTGGGATTACTCCAAGGAAGCTATTGTGGCTAAAACAGTTTTTAAAGTAATAAAAGCACTAAACGGGATGTGGATAATAATTTATGGGTAAAACGATATATAACCTTGAAAACTTGTTTGTATATAGAAGACTAAGGTAACAAACTATATTTCTGCTTTTTGCTCAAATTAATGCAATACACTTTCATAGCACGGAGAATGCCGCGAAGTTAATTGTGAAATTCACGATACCCGCATTTTCCTTCTGAGCGTGAACTTGGATCGCGTGCGCGTGACACATTATGTTCTTATCTGATGGCATAAAAGCTGACTTGCACGAACATCTGCGCACATTTTTCTAATGTGATTCTATCTGTGGACGGAATAATAAATTCCAACCGTGTGCATTACTGCTAATGAGTGTGTACGTGCATATCTCACAGACAACTCTGCCGAGAGTTTCCGCGTCACTTGACAAGAACTGTCATGTTTATAACACGCAACCAGCAAGTAGACTCCGTGTATTTGCCAAGTCATGTACCGTCACGGTGGTGTCTACCTGGCAATTTAACGTGGGGCGAGTAGAGACGGATAAGTGAAATCGTTTGTCTGCAATCACAAGTATGCACCGCTGAGGCAGCTATTCGAAGTGCTCAAAATTACGGTTACAGCACAGGTAATATTCTACCAAAAGTAGGTCAAAAGCTGAGTCAAAATTTTCCTGTGGTAGTCGTCTATCAGCAGATAGAAGCCAAATGTAGAGTACCTCGTCTCGACTGCAGTTGGGATTATTTAATGAAAATTGAGGACGAGTTAACCAAAAGATTAACATACCATACCAGGTACTGAAATACTCCAATCACGGCCTTGCTGCTGTTCTGGAGCGCAGTGTAGGTACGCATCTAATTTACTATCAAAGTCAAGCGTTCCACCAAATTCAGTGATGATCTACCAAGGATCAAATGAGGGTTGGGTCAAGAACTACTTTTGAGTAAACCCACACCAGAATCAAGCGTTTACATGGTAACAATTAAGTATTGTTAGCGTCAAATCGGGTTGAAATTTTATTTCTGGGTTTTTCAAACAGTCAGTCGATAGCTCAGGACTAGGCCGTAGTTGGTAAGCAACGATAAAAGAAGAGTATTTCATAAAAGCCCAGATGACAAGCAAGTGGTTAAGTAGCATTGTCCGTTGGATAAGATAGTAGTAACAAACGTATGTACCGCTTTTACACACTAGTTCGGGCTTTAAATGACGAATGCATATAGCCATACCAACGGATGGGGGCTGATTGCGGAAGCCTTGCGTGCAACATACGCGTAGTGACTATATGACTTTGAAGTCATCCCCCGAGGCTGTGTGGCCAAATTCAAGGAAGTATAACACAATAGGGGTGGCTGCGAATCGCAGAACGTTTTTGTAGAACCAGGCAAATATGTGTTCTCGAATCCTCTGAGATAGGCGCCTCGTAGTGCGATCCATGTAGCGTGCCCCACAGGAGCACAAATACCAATAAAGGGACATTCAAAGGGTCAACGAAAGGCAGCTCATCTTTCTAAGGTTTTGCAAGCGAAGGCGTGTTGTATTAACCAGTTCTCAATCGGGCCTCTGGGTAAGTCTTCTCAACGGTGTCTTTCAAGATTCGGGATAGGTGTTTGGCAGCATAATCTCTCTGAAATGGCAATCGCATCAACAGTGCTCAAAACTGTGAAGTGCGCGTGCCAACTGACCTATATCTTTGTGACAAAACTGATCGTGGCTCACTCAAATCGCGCGTCGATGAGTCTGAAATGTATGTATCTTTTGTTGATGACATATTTGTACTTTGAAAACCGGAAGGGCACGCGGCACAGTTAGTAAGAGCTTGTAATGACGAATATGAGGATCGCCACTTTATATGCGAGCATGAGTTCGGGGACCGACTACCTATTTTTAATGTAAAATTTCTCCGTAATTCAAACGGATTTAGTAGCAGGAAGGTGAAGCTTCAGCATACACCGACTCCGCAGTACACGAAATTCTACAATACAGTGCCGCTAGAGTACGAGAAAAGTTTACTCCAATCTGTTGAATCCAGGTCGCGCAGTATTTACACACTGGATACCGTGAACGAGTTGCCGAAGTTCAGTGATGTTTGGAGAGAAAACGGTATTTCAACTAAAGTTAGCTAGCAATACCAATGTGAAAGGGATAAGTTAGCTGCCTCATCAGGGGGCAGCCAATTACGTTACTTTCTGTGAGTGATTTATGTGAGTTTCCGCTAAGTACCCGATAGCCGTCTTACCCATGCGATCAAGCATTGGGACCGTTGCGCATTAACAACCCAGACAGGGATGCAGATCTTTTGCCATGAATTCCACACGATTATTACAGGAAGCTAAACCTGCCTGCATTATATTCGTTGCTAGAAATGTCTAATAAATTGAACATATCACACGCGGCCGTGCTACCTTTCACATTAATACTTCTACTAAATTCATTGACACCTTTCGGAGCCATTTACAACAACATTGTTTCCGCCTCAAGCGCCCCACTAAATTCGGGGATACACTCATGTCGAAAACACAGAAGTTATGGTAGCTTGTTCGAATCGACCTGACAGGAACCATCAATAGCCGGAGGATTTTGATTACTGTCGACTCCTACAGTAAAAACAATGAGGTGTTCTTTACTTATAACCTGTTAGCCCATCCGAAGGAACTAAAGGTTTCGAAAGGTTTTCAGTAGATTCTACTGCCCACAACCAATTATGGCCAAAGTTACGACGTCCTGAACATGATTTCAGAAAACTTGGTAGACGACCGGTTAATGTATTTATGGTAATAGACAACATTTCGCTTTTGACACAAAAGCTTCATCAGCGTTGTCTATTACCATAAATA